CTGGCGCCTTGTTCTCTCCTGGTTTACCTCGGACCTCTGTTTTGTCATGTTGACCAAAACTGCCTTGCTTACCATATCTAACAGGACCTGTACCTCTGGCTTCTATAAATTGTTCTGCTAGTCTGGCCATTTCCATAGCATCTTTTGGTTTTCTCTCTTTCAAGAATATACTAAGATCCCTTCCAGTTACATTTAAAAATCTGTTCACGCAACAATAAATCTTCAAAAGTCTTTTGAGTACCACTAAGCTCAATCCATCTGTTGAAATAGTTCTCAATTCTAACTACAAACTGTGTGAATATCTCACCTGTATCAGTTTTAGCAGTTCTAAATTTCTGATGAAATCCATCCTCTGTCATTTCATAGCGTTTTAGCAATGCAGTCTTAACAGCAGTATAATCTTCTGCGTCATCTACACTTAATCTGGAGTATACTTCCAAAGCCTTACCTTTTAGTAGCGTACAAAGATATGCTGCCCAATGACAAGGCTTCCAACCTTGTGCTACAGCTACCCGTTCAAACCGTTGAAGATATGCATCAATGTTGTCATTGCCGTCTTCAAACGGAGGCATCTTAGGCATCTTAGGTGCAGCACCTGATTGTTTCTCTCCTACCTGTCCTTCATAATTTCCAGCATAACTCTTTTCTTACTTGGCTAATTCTTTTCTCTCCTCTGATTGCACTCTTAATTTTTCTTTCTCCCATTCTAACTGTTCTCTCTCTTTCTCTCCTCCAATTCTAATTTCTTGATTTCCCGCTCCCTTGCTCTTTCCTCTCTTTCCAACTTTTCCTTCTCTTTCTCTCTCTCTAACTCAGTTTGTTCTTTTACAAACGTCCTCAAATCATTTTGCTCATACCCTAAACTCTGACCCAATTCGATAATCTTTTCAAGATCCATATCTAGCTGTATGGTGATAGTATGAAGTACAAGTACAGTTAAACCCAGCAGGCTTAGTCTTGGACAACTGTGAATAATGAATGCTACCAATAGGAACTTAGACTATACAAAAGAACATTCCTGCATAGTATGGAACCCAAAAATATAAAATTCCAAACAATAGCCTAATCTGACCAATAAATGAAATACACCCTACCAACCTTGATTCTAACTCGTACACTCAAGGATGTAGAAGTGGTGCCGGAGGTCCTATCACACCTCTGGCCATAAAAATACTACAAGGATAAACCATCAAGGAAGTAACTCCTAATCTCTCATAGAATGATGGTCCGAGTTAATTCAATAGTGACAATATTTAAATATCCCATCGCTGCCACCAAAATGTCACGTATTGAATCAACCACAAACACACATGAAGTTGTAATAACGATTTATTCCCTCCCTTAAGGTCATTTTAAATCCCAATAATAATATTTAAATTCAAACTAATACCAAATTAACTAACACAACTAACTAACCTAGCTTCTCCTACAACTAACAATACTACCATCTACTACTAATACTAATATCTTACTACTAACAGTACAAATGTCTACTACTAATAATACAACTATCTACTACTAACAATACAACTATCACGATACACTATCCTAATACTAATAGTCTACTTCTAACAATACTAACACTAATACAGATGTTCTAAGAATAACACAACTAATACATAGTAAAACTTTGTGTGTGTACATACATACAACAACAACACACAACCACACACAAAAAAACACACAAAAATACAAAGCCACTCCACTGTCACTGTCACAACAGTTCTATACAGAACTTTGGAATCTCTGATGTTACTGAGCAGTTCACACGAGAATTCTTCCTCGTAATAACGAATGGTGATCTTTCCACCCAGGCGATGTTGTCCCCACGGAGTTAAGGGTGACTGTTTACATGGATGCCACGGCTGTGTTCATCCTACGATGTGCACACGGAAACGGAGATACTTCTCTCCTTACGTTGGGTCGGAGAACTTCTCTCCTTACGTGATGTTTGAGGTTGATACTTCCTCCTACGTAATATCGAGGTTCTTCCCTCCTACTTACTATAAGGTTAACCGGCCAGTTCCAGGACACTGCAATATAATATAAGCAATTACAGTCACTGAGGTATGTGTCACTACCTCACAATACATACAGCCATGCACCAATACTCCGATTCACATATTACTGAGTTCAACTATTTATACTTTGATCATGTTGTGGTTATTGTTACAGTGGCTTTACGCTATTACCATCAATATGTGTATATAATTACATTTGAAAACAATACATAACTCAAAATTCTATCCTCTAAAATACAATTCTACATGAAACAATAAATGTAAAAACTTACGCCAACCAGAATAGAAGTCTCCCACAATATTAGTCTATGCCTTACCTGACCATGCTGATTCTGGCTGACTGTACAAATTATTACCCTGCCCCGCTATTTAAACTGACCCCAAAGCCCAAGCTACCCCTTACCTCCTTATTGTTACACCAATTAACTCCCCAGCTATCAGCCGTTCCCAGTCACGCTTCCCTGAACCTAACCTGTTCCCATAGTATTACCTGACAATATCTAAAAACAACCCGCTAAGCTTAATATACTAATGTAACCATACCGTAATACATCTATCTGAAGTACTAACATATAATTAAAATATACAAGATTATCTGTGATCTTGACAGTACCCAATATCGATTGTCTATTTGAGTGAGTTCAAAGTTTTGTGTCATTTTGTTCAAATGTTCCTTTTCTTTATAGATATCTACCACGTGGTATTACCACGACGTCAGCAACAGCACTGACATTAATTACATGGCCTTGCATCTTCTAAATATCACGTTTTTCTCACCCTATGACTTTATTTCTCTTTGTGATAACCTAGTAATCACACCTGACCTGCTTCTTTCCTAGTGTCAAGGGTCACTGATAAGGGGTTCTCACACTAGTAATTAAGCAGGTAACTATTTAAATCTCATGAAATGATAAGAAGGCTCATTGATAAGGGTTCCTCACACTAGGTAATTATAAGCAGGTTACTGTTCAACTCTCACAAAATGATAAGAAGGTTGTCATTGATAAGGGTTTTTCACATCAGGTAATTATAAGCAGATTACTGTTTAACTCTCACAAAATAATAAGAAGGTTGTCACTGATAAGTTTTTCTCACACCAGGTAATAATCAGCAGGTTACTGTTTAACTCTTACGAAATGATAAGAAGGTTGTCACTGATAAGGGTTTCTCACACCAGGTGAGGTGAGGTGAAATGGGGTTTAACGTCGCGTCCAAGATTATTGCTCTTACATAGCGACGTGCATGTACGTGTGTGTGTTTGTGTGGCTGCTTGTACTAGTCCGGAATGATGCCGATTTATAGTGCTAGTCACTAAGATACCATGCCGCAGTTTAACATGAATACCCAACTCAGACACAGTATACTGACTCCGAGCCGACCAGTGCTTGTTTTAGCCCCTTAATGCCGAGCGCCAGACAGGGTAACAACAAGTACCATCTTTTAACGTCTTTTGGTATGACGCGGCCGGGGATCGAACCCCACACCTTCCGCTCCCCGGGCAGACACTCTACCACTAGACCACCAGGTAATAATCAGCAGGTTACTGTTCAACTCTTACAAAATGATAAGAAGGCTGTCACTGATAAGGGTTTCTCACACCAGGTATTATAAGCAGGTTACTGTTTAACTCATAACTTGGAACCTCTCAATAACATAGAATGTTTTCCTAAAATATCCCATGGTGCAGTTTTCAACTGAAGCTTGCATAATTCTTTGCAGGCTTACTGTTAAAACACAGCATCTATTAAAGAAAATCAACCGGCGGTAGGGTGGTCGAACGCAACTGCTTGGAAGAACTAAATACCAATGCCGTCTTCGGTCGTTGGTATAAAAATATTTCTAAGATCAAAACATGAAAAAAGCAATATTGTCACAGAAAAAGCCACAACTTTGCACTGTATCTCTCCTAGAAACTATCACATTTGGAAAGGAATCCATCAAGAAGTTTTAAAGTTATAGGTTGCACAAATGTTTAGGTAACACAAAATTTCAACCAAAACCCGAAAACTTCAGAAAGTCAAAATATTGAAATTGGAATCAACCTTCGCACTTCAGATCTGCTACTTGGATAGATAGTGTTAACAAGGTTTGAGAAGAATCCATTCAGTTGTTTTCAAGTTATTGGTCGCACAAGAAACATCCTCGGAAGGACGAACGGAAATTCTTAGTGTAACTATATGCTCCCGCCCTTTGAAGTGTTTGACTTTGTGTGCAGTGATCCATGTTGACAGGCTGACAAACAAGTCACGGGGCGCGAACACCAACAAAGCATTATTTACCCTTCGTTAGATGATAGTGACAGTGATATGATGAGTAACTCCTATTATATCTAGGTACATTTCTGCAAGCATAATATTGTCGTCTTTGATATTGAAATTTATAGGCTGGTATTGCCTAACACCCACCAGGTAGGATACAACGTGATGGTACGTCCTCCAGCAGGTAGCAGAGGAATCTTCCCCAGTAAAGAGACCTGGTTTCTGGTGTCATATAGCCTGTATTAAGTTCACTCATGCGTACAGACGTGTGGTACATGATTTTTGAATTGAATTTGTTAGTTTATAGTCTTCGATCTGTGATAAAAAAATATTTACTGTCCGTTAACAGGTTTTTATGGCTGAAAATGTTGATTTACTATTACTTGGGGAAGATCAGTCCCTTAGCGCTGATGTTGTCTGACTTCTCATTCACAAAAGTGCAGATGTAGAGGTGATTTATAGCAAGCAGCCAGAAAGTAAACAATCTGCAAAAGAATCCATGAGAACAGTAGCTACACTAGCAGCTAATCTATCACATGAGAAAATGTTTGAGTACTTATTACAACTCTTTATCTAGCAATAGCTGGGTTTAATCACAGCTGCCTTTGAGTATCTCGTCGTCCATATATAATTAGTAATATTAGTCTTAACGAACATACATGGTGTAACCACCTTGTTAAACTAATGTAACATTCTAGATGTCGTCTCACGTTTCTTACAGGAGCACTGATTGGTCTGCAAGTGTACAGTGAGACATCCTATACCTGGACGGACGGTTCAACCTTCATCCGGTCAGGGGCAAAGAGCAGTCAATTCAACGCAGGATGTGCATACCTGTATCAAACGACAATAAAGACCACGACCTACACAAACAAAGGCTGGTCCTTGTGTGAAGTTATAGTGTGAGGCGTGATCCAGATATGGTCTGGAAGCCATGTTTCCTGACATCCACTTGCCTTTACTTGATGGACTGAGTGGTTCTTCAACGCCAGGCAAACAATGAGATGTACGAGATGTTACTTTTGATTTCCAAACTGAAACGCGAAGGCCAACTCAGAACGTACAGTGCAAAATTTTGGAATCAGTAAATAAGCACTTGTCAGCGAATAATTAACAAATTATATTGAAACACAAAGGAGGAGGTTTACAAAACATTAAAGGCAGTAGAATTGGTCAATAAATAATAGGCCCTATAACATCAATCAGAGGATGCACGAAAGTTCAGAGACCTGTGAAGATCCAGGGTAGAATAGGTCTTCAGCAACCACTGCTTGCTGTAAAAGGCGATTATGCTTATCATGAGATCGGGATCGGGTGGTCTTGGTTGATGCATGTCATCGTATCCTAATTGCGTAGATTGTCTGGACCAGACATTATTATTAACACACTGCCATCATATAGCTGGAATATTGTGGCGTTAAACAACAAACACACAGTGAAGCTTGCTGTACCGAGAAGGTACGGAAGATAGCAAGCGTTTGGGCAAGGATGTGCTATAAAGACCAAGGAGGCCACACTACCTTATTGCTGTCAAGATCACTAAACTGAAAAACTGTTGCCTCCTTGACAACCTTAATAGGATTGCCGTCCAAAACTAATTCGGGGTCTCTATGTTTGTATTTTCCACAAAATTTAAGACAATTTGTTTTAGATTTTGACAATTTAAAACTGTTTTCAAAGACCATTTATGTATTTTATTTAGACACAATTGTAATTGTCTTTCAAATGTATGCATATTTTTGCCACAAGATACCTAAAAATCATCCACAAACAACGATCCGTCAATTGAATCATTTGAAACTTTAGAGAGGCTATTTATGTTGATTCTAAACAATGTGACAGACAAGACACTACATTGTGGGACACCCTGACCCTGATTATAATAATAAGACAGGGTAGAACCCACGCGGACTTGAAATTGCCTGTCAGTTAAAAACACGGATATAAATTGAGGCAAACAGCCTCTTAATCCCAAGTCATGTCAATATTCTAAAATACCGTGTTTCCATGTAGTGTCATATAGACACTGCATGTTCCTTGTTTATTATTGCAATGGTCAATGGTACTGCGACTTTTACGAAAACAACACTGAATATTTGTTATTAAATTATTAGTTTCTAAATACCATGTCAATCTATTATTTACCATGCATTCAATGGTTTTGCAAACGCAGCTAGTCAATGAAATGGGTCTTTAATTTGAGGGATCTGTATGATCCCGTCCAGGTTTTGGTATGGGAACTACTATGGCTTCACGCCATAATGAAGGAATTATACCGGACATCCAAATTTCATCAAATATTAGCAGAAGAGTTTCTAACAAAGGTTCCTGTAAATGTTTCAGGAATTGATGTGTATGTTATCTGCTCCTGAAGCAGTATCATGAGCTTGCCCTAGGGCAGTGTGGAGCTCAGGAATGGAGAAGATTTCATTGTAGTCTTCCCCATTATCTAATTGAATTTTTTCTTTTCTTGCTGCTTTTGGTATTTTTTAAATTTAGGTACATAGTTATTCGCCAAAGTTTCCCCCAGTTTATAAGCAATATCTGAGCTATCAGTATGTAATTCATCCCCATTTTTAAGATGGTGGATGCTGGATTTTGAACCCTTACCTTTGATCTTTTGGATCATCAGCGTTCGGGAATATATTTTTGAAACCTAGTTCATGATTGGCGTTTATTTTGTTTGTAAGTGCGCTGTGCTTTTAGCATTTTAAACTTTAAATTTGTTCAAATTATGTGCCATAGGATGGCGACGAATATAATCCTCTGGCTTTTCCTTGCTTCCAGCTAGTTTGCAGTCATTATTAGTGAGTGAGTTAAGTTTTAAGTCACATCGGCAATATTTCAGCCATATCGTGACTATCAATGGGTAAATATATGATACATATATTGAAGCTTATATAAAAACCTGCCAACGAGGGACAGTAAAATAACTAGACTGCAGTCATTATTTAACCATGGTTTTCGTATGTGAGGATTCGCCGAGTACTTCGGAATGCACTCATCGGCTATTTTGATAAGTTCATCAGAGAATAATTGAACAGGGTCAGGAACATCGAGAAATAGATGAGGTTTTAATTTGTTTGAAGACAGTATTTCAAACAAGGGCCAGTTAGCTTTACGAAAGATCTTGATGCAGGAGGTACATCAGAAGGAGTAATAGGTTTTAATATAGTTGGAAAATGGTCACTTCCACAGAGGTCACCGTGGACCGACCATTCGAACTCATCAGTAAAGCTGAGTCTGAAATCGATAAATCTATAGAAGAGTAAGTACCTGCACCTGGGTGTAAATATGTGTTCGAACCATCATTATATATGCATAAATCGTTATTAGAAATAAAATCTTCTAGGATCTTTCCTTTGTTGTTTGTATGTGTACTGCCCCAAATAGGATTGTGCCCATTTAAATCGCCCATAATGACACAGGGCTTGGGGAGTTGGTCATACAAATACTGAAGGTCAGCCTGTCTAAGAGAAGATGATGGAGGAATGTAAACAGAGCACAAAGGGAGAACAACGTGCATTGTAACTCGGACAGCAACAGCTTCAAGTGGGCTATTAAGAATACCCTGCCTCATGAAGACAGAGGAGCCTCCAGTTGCTTTTGCACCGGGAGGAGAAAAGAAATGATAGGAATCATGTTGTCAATATGATCGGTATTTTTTAAGTAAGTTTCTTGTATGGATAATGCCGATGGTTTATAATCCTGAAGTATTAATTGTAAATCATTGAAATTAGTCCGTAGCCCTCTGCAAATCCATTGGATAATACAAGTAGAAGAGCTCACGGTGGCTCAACTGGTGATCTGGAACGGGAAGGGAGTCTACTCCCATGGACTGGCACAGTGGGAGTGACTTCCATCTCTAGAGGTTCGAAAGGATTGTGAACCTCCACAGGGGTGGATAGAGAAGGCACCTTCAAGTGTTGGAGGGCCTTTGCCCTTATCAGTTTCTTTTTTCTTATTTAGTAAGATGGGCATCGCCCTAAAGAAGACTTTGATTCTGAGGTATTGTCAGAAGTTTGGAGATGATGGTATTGCATCTGTTTGTGAAGCTGAACTTGAAAGCGTAGAAACCTTTTTGTCCTCAATAATGATCTGAGCATCCGTCACCCAGGAGATTGATGTCTGGCACCCTGTGGAAACGGTAGCAGCTTTGTTTACAACAGGCAGAGAAGACACTGCAGCTGAATATGATTTGGCAGATGGAGTTTGAGTTTGAACTAATTTCTTCGCATCAAGATAGGAGATATTATTGGTGCATTTCATTTTTAGAATTTTAGTCTCAAACTGAAATACAGGGCAAGATTTTGAAGAGGCCATGTGATCTCCATGACAGCTGAAACTCATTAGAGACTCAGACGAGCACTGAGAACTCTCATGATTTCCGCTGCAGCGGCAACACACCACCGGTTTGCTGTGGCAGGATTTGGCCCCATGATCAAACTTTTGACATTTATAACATCGGAGTGGGTTTGGTACGTATACCTCCACTCCGATATTGAAGTAGCCAGCTTTAATTGACTTTGGGCTTGTAGGTGTTGAAAATGTAAAAAGATAGGTATGAGTGTTGGTGTCAGTTCCATCATTTCTTTTCCTGGTGAAATGCTTTACACCAGTGACACATTGTTGCTGTAGTTCAAACACTATCTCATCTTCAGTCATATCAGAGAGACAGCGAGCAGGATCTCTGACAATACCTCGACTTGAATTGAGTGACCTGTGCGCAGAAACAACAACCTTAACATTGACAAACTGCTGTCGATCCAGCAGGTTGAGTGATTGCTGCTTCCGTGCACATTCTATAAGTAGTGATCAGTTACGAAGACGCGTAACATTTTTCGCTTCTCCACAAACGCTTTTGATGCCAATTGAGACAGCGAAAGGATTCAGTTTCAATGGATTTCCATCATCTGACGAAATTACAATAAATATCGGCCAAGAAACTTCCGGAGCTGTATCTTTTTGAGAAGGTTCTTCATCCGATGAAGCACAATCTACATGTCTACGTTTATTGGCTTTACTGGAACCAGGAGGGTTAGTGTGAGACATGGTGTATATAGGATAAATTCATCATCCCTGGTCCCCACCCGCCATCGAGTGTCAACAAGGAAGGTGCCGCAGTGGAAGCCAGGCTCCAACACCAGGGTTACAGGGGTGTTATACTCCAGAAATAAAGACATGAATAGCTGTCGTTAATAAAAGGAGGAATGTCAGGCTGGTTCGGCCCATGGCATTTACCTATAAAAACACAGAATTCAGCGGTCCATATTACCAGATTGGCCCATCGGCCACCGCCTTCTGGCATAGGACTCTAGGCAAATTTTTATTTGACATAATGAAGGTCATCCTACATTCCAATCAAAACCTGTGTGATAGGATATGTCTAAATTATCAAGTATTCCATGCACAGGGCATGACGTGACCAAGTCAGGGTCAAAGTGGTGTGTTGGGCAATAGGAACACAGTTCCTGGCTACAGTGCCCTCAACCACCAGAATCCCGTCCTCCACCGACACAGGGGCGCAACCCACGGCAAGCGGGTTGCCCAATTCGGTAAGCCTTTTACGACCAGCAATGGGGTGCTGTGGACATATTCCACCCTGCCTTTAAAGCCATTGTCGCCTCAAGTAATATCGCCGCGTGTCAGCTTAATGTGGGAGGAAAGCCCAAAGTAATGCATGTCTCTGACTTTTACCACTTCAGTGAAACCCACGAGCACTGGTATGGTGCTGACAAACCTAGAAACATAATCGGGGCGAATCGGGATTCAAATCCACAATCATAGGTTTATGGTCAAGGGGCGCAACTCTGCACAGCGAATCGCCTCGGGCCACCCGTGCACTCCAATGTTTTGCGGGAATTGTCTTCATGGATAAATCTGAAATGTGAGAGTATGTTATTATGTTCGTTATTATTTAGGGTTGTACTGTGACCAATTGTTCCATAAACAAAAAAGCACAGCCAGCTATAACCGACATCACTTTTATTCTGTTGGTGGCATGATAATCATGATTTAGTGGTTATGGTAGAGTGGTAAAAAGGCTGAACAATACAAATAAAGCCTAATTAAGTCTATTTTTATAACTTGAAAGTTGCCTATCTTTATAATTATTATTTTTTAAACAAAACCATCTTAAGAAAGTATTCTTTGATATTTTACGACACTTCACTCACTTCAACTTCGATAAGGCAACAACGAAACTTTGAGAAAACTAAACAAATTTTGCGTTAACAGTATTTTGCATGCCAACAAATATTATCAGGGAATGACAAATGATTGTACTTACACTGTGGGGACTGTATAAAACGTGTTGAATTCTTTTATAGCTAAAGAAATAGCAGTCAAACACAACGTGCTTTTCAGCGTGAAAACGCAAATCTTATCTCTCTCGACGGGAGAACTTCCGAAGGGAAGTAACTCGTGACTGCCAAATACTGAAGCGTCGTACAATACCCATGAGTGAGTGAGTGAGTGAGTTAAAATTTTACATCGCATCGGCAATATTGCAGCCATATTGCGATGAAAACAAGTTAATTATGATAAAATACCCGTCGACAAAGGACAGTAAAACAGTAAGTCATGTAGCACAGCTAAGGTATAAAACAAACCAGTTCACAATAAAAACAAAGAATTCTTCAGTAGATTTGGTACGAGATAAAACTGGGCTATATGCCTCTGGCAACCAAAGCTAGACCACCTAACTGAGGATCATGGGGACTTACAGTGCCTTTGCTACCTGCATGATTCCAAGCAGGATTTATGTCATCACTTTGGTCACAAGTGGTCATCTTCAATGCTAACCAATATTAAAAGATCAAACCATAGTCAAGTAGTTAAAACACTAGTTGATATTACACATTTTTATTTAGATAGGCTTGCGTGCCAGAGTCAAGAGGACAATAATTTTATGCTACTTTAATCCCCCTGAGTAGCACCGCCTTCAATAATATCAGTTGTAAATAATATCACACTAATTTAAAACAATTCAAAATTCAAAATTTGTTCTTCATAGATAATGTATCATATTTTACTAGTGAAATCATTTTCTACTTTTTTTTCCAAAGACAATTTAGCTTAAATTTGTGAATAAAATATTGGAAAATTGA